AATTATTTATTAAAAGCTCGACATTTTAAATGAGAATAAGAAAGAAAAGTATGTCTTTGTGCCCCCTTTTCCCTGTTCATGCCCTATCGGCCCCCCTGGCTAAACTTTGCTAGACCCGCCCCTGCACAGTTACCAGCTGTCAGCTGCGTAGAAAAAGATCCTGGTGTAGAAAGTAATATTAAAATAAGTTCTAACAACAGCTTATCAAGGTTAAACGTGCTGCTGTTGTTCAGCCGCTGGTTTTCTCTCTCTAGTGCAAAGTGGGCCAAAAACAAACAAGAGAGACGGGAGTTGCGACAGAAAAGCCGATCAGCTGATCATTGATCCGTTTCATGATTGAAGTAGCAGCAGGAGAGGGAGAGAGAGAGAGAAGAGGCAGTCGCTCCATATATTGGTTGTTAAACTTAACGTGGGAATGCTTTACAAACATTCAGATATGAACTTACGCATTTGCTTTACTTCTCTCGGGGATAACTTTCTCGGAGACGAAATGCCGGTTTGGTAGCGAGGCTCCAAATGCTCAACCAGACCACCGACAGGTCTCGCACACCACAGCCGCTCTATCACGTGACGCACACTGCTCCGACGTGCTAAGGTGATGAGCTGAGTTACGCCATGTCGCAAGTTTTTTTGAGCTGCTTTTGTGATATTTAATGGATCGGATTACATTTTTTATTTCTCTCCGATATCCGATCCAGTAATTTAGGTCAGTATCGGACCGATACCGATACGTAATATCGGATCGGTCCATCTCTAGTTTACACCAAACAAAAACTCACAGCTTTGCATCCAAGAGCAGTTAGTATGCGGCAGTATGAGCACTGAGAGAGACGGATAATGGTAATAATTGTCATAACTGAAAATTCATCACTTAAGGAAGAAATGCTTGATCCATGCTTATGTAAGCAGGTTCAAATTTGTGCATTTGCATCTTAATGTATGTGTAAAATAGTGTCACATCTAAGGCAGTTTTAGGAAAGTTCCACCTTGATTAGAGGGAATGTAACTGATATTAATAGATAGTGCCCCATTCACTTGATAAGTTTCTGGTGACTTTCTCCTTCTGGCCAGTAGTAGTGGCACATGGCAACACTAGAGCGAACATACTGCCTCGTTTTGTTCCCTAAAGATCTTGTTAAAATTCCAGTTATTGACCCTGGATGAGAAATCACTTGTGTGCTATTTTAACCATTTAATATCGAGCTGTCAGAGCCAGTTAGATCCTTTTCACATCAGTCAGACTGTTAAGTTTGCTAACTGGCCTGTTAGAGTTTTGTCAAAGTGGAGAAAAAGTCTCAGAAGAACCTCATAATGTCTTCTAATGAAGTCATCTGTAGTGGTTTAGACACCATGCTGCCAGTTCTCCAGATGTGAAAATACTGGCTTTTTAGTAGTATTATTATTTATTTTCAACCTCTAGGGTTGCAACTAACAAATTTTGTCATTAACTTGTTTTTTTTTTCCATTATGTCATTAATTAATAAAACAATCCATTGGCCAATTATTTGTTCCTCTTCCTTCTGGGGTTATAAGTATATTTAAGTGGTTTCCATCTACCCAACACTCATGTCCCAAGATAATAAAATAGAAATCACGAAAAATTAAATATTTCCACCTGTGATGCTCAGACCAGTCATATAACTTTATTAACTCGTTGTGTGAACAGATATGTAAATAAAGAGTTTTCCTTGTCTTTTTAAGGCCACAGTTACAGACCAAGAGAGCAGTCAGTGAAATCGACTCTTTTCAAAAGACATAAATTTTGCTTTGAACTCAGACTTTTTGCTCACACTCACAGATCAATTACTGCTTAGTGGGTAATTAGCAAGTGTTTGCAGATATGTCAGCATCTTCTGTGGAACTGCTTATCAACTTGTTGGCGAATACCTATTTTTTTTCTTAACAACCAGTGTTTGCCAGGCAGTCACCAACCAGTGTATAAGATAATTATTATTTACGTATGTGTTGTGTTGGTGGTGCACAAAAAAAACCCAAACTTAAGTATCTACAGAGCAGCATGAATTGTGACCAATATATAAAGTAGATTTAAACTCTGTAATTCTTTCCTTGTCTTTGTTCTCCTGTTTCTTTTTGCAGATTTTGAGGATCTGTTTGATGACGATGACCTGCAGTGATGACACCTGTTTGAGCTGCTGAACATGTACATAAAAGGAATGAAGAAATTGCCCCATTCTCTCTACAAGTCTCTTATTTGTACAGCTTCCCTCGTGTAAATCACTCAGCCCAATATTGAAATAAAACCTTTTTGTTTTTACAAAAAAAGTGGTGGTGAACCAGGTGTCTGAATTCTGAGAATCTCTTACATTCCTGCTGAAGAGAAAATTATGAGTATGGTTTTGGTGTCGTCTTGTTTGAATCTGCTCCTGCCTGGATTGTAGGCTTGTTTCTCCTGAGAACCACCTGTTAGCAGACGTAATTACATATGTGTTAACGTGATCACTCAATGATCAGCGGGAGCATGATGGGACAGGAATAAGGCTGGAAAAATGTGGAAATGCTAAAAAAAACCCAACAACTCCAGAACAAATAAAGATGAAAGAAATAAAAAGCCAGTGTGCAATAATTAAGGTATGACTATGCAGGAACAGCAGTTCTGTAAACAGAGAAAATGGAAAAAAGATGTTTCTCCTTGTCCACCCTCTTTTTAATGGCCGACTATACTAAAACCTCAAAAGCCAACTTCTTCCAAGTACTTTGGTGACAATTTGTGAATTTTCCAGCATGACTGAGCAACATGTCTCAAGACAAAGCAATAACTTAATTGCACCAGATCAGAGTTTGGATTCATGGCCAGGAAAACTCCAAATCTTAATGAAACTGAAAATCTGTAGTGAGGCTTTAAAAACAGGTGGATGGAAAGATTTACATTCTGTACAGGATAAAGAAAATAATGAAGTTTGTATGTTATATTTTACAAGTAGCATGCTGTCAAGAGTATTTACCTAATGCTTCATAAAAAGTTTAATTTTACTTTACTAAAGGCAGATTTTGACAGAAGAATCTGGTCTCGGATTATGGAAAGTTCCAGACTACAGCAGGTCATCAAGTGGAAAACCTTCTATGGGAAACATTTTACAATTTAACGTCAGATTAAAACCAATGAGGCCAAACACTAAGGTTACTAAAATAAAGCTCTTCTGCATAGCAGATAAATGAACTATAAAGTAAATGCATGTGAAAGGTTTAGTGTTTTATTGTAAAATGACAATTACACAGGTGATACTGTCAATAAAATAACATTTGTAATGAATAGTTACATTACCAGTTAAAGCGCAGTGGTATTTCTAACATAGGCTCTATGTAGGCCTGCGAAAAACTAGCTTGATCCTTACAGCTTTAAAAGTTAAGAGGGGACTAAGCATCCAAGTGTTGCTAATAAAATGCACTTTATAAATCACTTATCCCTTTACCACATCTATAAATCAGAAATTTTGCATTCAGGTGTGTGTCAGTGTCAAAATCTTCCCAGGAGTGCACATTCCAGCACTTTCATCACATGGACCATGCAACGCTCAGAGAAACCCAAGAGCTCCATCTCAGACTACGCAGGCCTCAGTTAGAATTTTAAATGTTAAACTTCATGACAGTGCAGTAAGACAAAGACTGAACAAGTATTGTTTATGGCAGCACAGCTTAAGTTTGCAAAAATTCAGTGGAACAAACCTTAAAGTCTGGAACAATGCCGTTTGGACAGGCAAAACTACATTGGAGATGTTATGCACTAACACCTTATACCAGCTGTTAAGCACTTTGGTTGAGGGCTAATGATTTGGGTTTGTTTTGCAGGCAAAGGACCTGGACAACTTAAACCCATTAGGCTGATGGTGAAATTCTCTGTATATCAAAGTGTTCTAGAGTCAGAAGTAAGGCCACAAGTCTGACAACTAACATTTGGCCCAATTTAGGCCATGCAATGGGGCAATGATCCCAAGCACAGAAGCAAATCTCCATCAGACTGTTTGGAAAAAAGATAAAAGTGTTGCAATGGTCCAGTCAAACTCCAGATCTCAACCCAAAATGAAGCAACGCTGTAAAGAAGAGCAGGCCTCGTCCTTTTGCTCTACAAGGACTTGCACTTTTCTCTAATGGTGACCAAACTAAAACACCTCAAGCTATTCAAAATCCTCTAACTGTAGTTCAGTCTTTAGCTATTTCACAATCAGTCATTTAAGCACCGTGTTCAAAATTTTATACTTCCATAAATGTTAAATGTATTTTCTCTGGAATAAGACAATGTTTAAAACTGATTTTCTGTTAAAAGTTATATTTGTTTTAAATTAAATTACATTTAGTGTCAAAAATATTTTCAGTAAAAGAACCAAAAACAATAAAA